TCGCTGTCTTCATGATTGCCTTATCTAGTGGCAACTGTCTGAAGCCAGCCCTTGTATTCCGAACCTGCCACTGCTTGTATGTCTCGGGCCGCTCGATTCTTTCAGCACCCTCACATGCGATGACATTCATTGCCTCCCACCCGAATATCTCGCTCTCAATCAGCCTTCGTTCAGGAATTTCACGGGGCACATTAGTCTCAAGCATATCAAATAAAGTGGAATAGTGGAAGAGAGCCTCCCTGAATCTGGTAGTAAAGAATGGAGCACTGTAAGAACCGTTCACAATCCCCAGTATGAAAACATCGGGATTCAACCTCCTGACCAAGTTCAGAACTTTATTCCTCGGACTGTCCACAACCACGGTCTCATCAAGCAGATTCCGGAGCCTGAACATGCAGTTTACAACAAGCACCTCACCTCTTTCAATCTTGAGGTCCTCGATTGCAATGGTATCCCATTTCTGTGCAATTGCATGGAACTCGAATGGAACTTTGAAAGTCTTTGCATAGTTCGCAAGACGACGCCCCGTCTCCTCAACCCTTTCTGCTGGCCGGAAACCTGGCTGTGGAAGATCAATCCCTGTAATTTTTAGCTTAGGCGGTCCCCCGAGTCTAGATGAGAGACGCTGTATGAGGCAAGGCCATTGGAAACCATAAAGAACACCGAAGTCGATGATATGAAGCCTAGCTGCATTTTCTGCAAGATGCATTATTGTTGTGTTTGAGAAGAAGTCCGAGATCTTCTTAAAAGGGCATGCAGCGAGAAACAAATGGTAAGCTTTCAAAAAGTTAGCAGCTGATGTCGGCCTCGTGACAACGGGATTGTAACTCTGGGTCCCGGAACCAGCTAAGCGTGCCTCTAGGCCATCAACAAAATAGTGAGCCAACCGCTGCATCCCGTCACCTGTAGGATCAGAATGCTGCCTGATTTGCTTCAGGAGCTCATTCGCACTCCTCCTATCATCGGTTGCAACAGCTTGTGCACAAAGAGTCAGGAGAGTTCTCAAATCGACCACATTCCGTTTACCTTTGTTCCCACGAGCCTTTCCACCGGTAGATCCTTTCAACTGTCCATTCTGCTGCAAGTTCTTGTTTGTTTCGTTTTGCAAAGCTTTTGAAGGTCGGTTATGCCTTGACAATTTAGTAACACTGTATCAAACATTTCCGGGCTTACAGTGGATTCGGTATAAATTGATGACTGCTTGTTACTTCTGCCGCTGTCTAAATTCACATCCCCGGGGTGAGGTTTCTTCTTTCCTCTCGATCCATCTGGCGAGAACTCATTCACCACCTTCTCTACAGCATCTTTAGCCTCTTCCTTTAGCTCTTTGAGAAACAGTCTGTCACTTTCTACATCAACGAACAAGCTCCCGTGATTTGGAAGGAACCTACTTGCTTCCTCAAACCCTTTTCTAAATTGCACAATGGAGTCACTATCGCCAAACATTTCAGGAAGCCTCGGCGTACTCACCGGAGAATCCACAAAGCCTTCTATGAGACTACCAGTACTATTCCCCGAACTAGGAGATGAATTAGCTTGAGAACTGAAGTTCAAACATTTGCACACCCAAATCATGGTTACACGGAAGATTGACAAAGTTACTACCACCGTTAATACATCTCCAACAACTTTGACCATGATGTTCATCGAAGCTTTCCTGATTTTGATCCTTTGATTCGGGTTCCGGAGAAAGTGGATACCGTTCTCCGAGAACCTCATAAAATGATCTCTCTGCAGCTTGAAGGGCTGCCGATGACTCCTTAAACATGCAGGTCTTATCTTCCATATCTTCTTCCATTAACATCTCATTTATGTACTTAAGAACTACATCGCTAAAGTCATAATCCTCGTACTGATATAACTCTTCGTTTACACTAGAGGAAGGAGGTAAATTTCTGGGAATCGAAGCAGGTTGCATAGGAGGAATATCAACATAATTTTCATTCCGAAACCCGGTACTAAAGTTCGGATTGGCCAATTCGAACAAAGTATCTTCATCTAGTCTGAATCTATCATCAGAACTGTAAAGCCCCTTCAACGACGGATCCATAGTCATAAGCCAAATATGATAGTAACAACTGAAACCCTGAACCCCAAACCCTAAATCAAAACCAGAAAAATCAAGCTCAAATCAAGCTCCTCCCCTATTACATTATTGTCCAAAAAAACTACAACAAATCTAACTACAAACTGTTATGTTCCTTGCCAAAATTACCTAGAAAAACATCAAACATACAGAAAACATAGGGGGGAAAAGGAACAGTGCAAAACATAGAAAGAATTGAGAATTTTGAACAGTCTCAAAAAAATGAACAAGGGACCTGAAGCAGCTAGTGAATATAAACAAAACCCATGCTGAAATCATCATTTTTCAGAACAAATACAAGAATCAAACTGGAAATTCAAAAAAATAATGTCTTTAAGGTTTGAGAAGAAAACCTTAAAAACCCATCAAAGTAGTTCCAAAACAACCTTAAAAACCCATCAGGCTAGTTCCTAAGTAATTCTTTCTTTAGATAAATAAATTGCCTTGAAAAACACCTTTTCAAAAGGAGCAGAGAAGATCAAAATAAGAACAGTACCTGAGCTGATTCTGAGAGAGAAAAGGAAGGGAAAAAGACTAAAGAAGGCTTGATCGTTGCGTTGGAATTTTAAATATAAATGATTCAAGTATTCGCTGAACAAAAGAAATGATTTTCAATTAATAGGGTGATGGTGATGATTGGGTAAATCTTTGCCGTTAACTATAGACACGCTTATTTTAAGAAATTTTAAATATTATTATTGAATGACTTTTTTATATATATAAATTTGAATTAGTGGATTATTTCTTGATTATTTTTTCTTTGATTTGTTTAAATTTGATATTGAATGTTTGGTTTGATATTACCATTTAATAGGCTGAGGAGAATAATATTCTTTTCACTGTCGAAATTACTTGATGATTCAAGTTTGATATTATATTTAATATGTTATTTTTTGAGAATTAATATAAAAATCTTCAAAATTTAATTTTGAATTAATAAAATATGTTTTAAAAAGTTAATAAAATTGAATTTAAAGGATAAATTTAATCTCATACGAAAAGGTTTGGTATAAAGATGTTGAAACTTATTTTTAAATGAGTGAATTTATTCTAATAATTATTTAAATTTGATTTTTCAAAATAGATTGATTTTCTTTTTGTATGTGCTGATTAGGCCTGTAAATGAACTGAACGTTCAGCGAACCGTTCATGAACCGTGTGGCGAGAAGTTCGTTTATTTAATAAATAAACGAACATGAACAAGATTTTGTGTTCGTTTAATTAAATAAACAAACATGAACAAATGTTTGTTCGTTCATTTACGTTCGTGAACGTTTGATTATATATTCGTTTATGTTCGTTCATTTATGTTCGAACAGAGGACAAGTCGAATATGTTACGAAGATTATTGAAGTTGTTTAGATTTCAAGAAGATTGTTTTGTTGAACAAATTAACTTTAAGACTTTATTATGTTCATATAGCTTATTTATGATTTATGTATGTTTTTTTTGTATTCGAACAAATTAACTATAAAGTTACATGTTATATTAATGAATTTTAAGTTGTTTACTTTTTTTACATTCGTTTGTTGTGTTCGAATAAGTTTTTTTTTTTGTTTTTGTGTTGTTCGTTTATTGTGTTCGTTTATGTTCGTTCGTTTATAAAATGAACGAACATTATAAATGAACGAACATGAACAAGCTATATTCCTTAATGAACGAACATGAAAAAAAAATTATTCGTTTATGTTCGTGTTCGTTTATTTATTAAATGAACGAACATGAATATACCTCAGTTCGTATGCGTTCGATTCGTTTACAGGCAATAAAAAGATGAACTTAAAACTCGTATCTTAATAAATAAATTTTTTTACTCACTTTTATGTCGTCATCAAACAATTTGAGAATAAATGAGAAATAATTAATGTAATTGACTCAATTAACAATACGACTTGTAATCAATATCGTCATTTAATCTGCGACTATATACGTTGTACTCGAACATTCATACCTCGAATATCACTAAACATAAACAAAAATATCCCACTTGGAATTAAGAAATCAAAAATATCTTGCATGTGTTTTACGCGTTTTGCCTTCATCATGCAGCACTAGATGCAAATTTGAATCTTCTCAATTAATAAACTAAACTAATCGAAGAAGGACACCACTACAATGAATGGTAACGGTAACAGAGCCACTCACCAATATCCAACAACAAGCACAACCAATGGAAGCAGAACTGTCCCCCTCAAAGATGGATAGAGAGGAAGACTGACGAGAACAATCATCTCTTCGAAAATTTAAGTATTTTTTTTTATATTTTTTGTTGTTAATATGTTTTCACCTCCTCTTCTTCTTTAATATAAAATTTCATTTCTATCCATAATCAATTCAAACGTGCAGAATTGGCTTTCCTCTGCTATGCTCTTAGTCGGATCCTTACTCCGAAATTGACAATGAGCACAGTTTTATACATCAAGTTACAACATGGACATGAACATGAACATGTTCATAGAAGATTATACCTAAAATGAGGCATACCTGAAACGATCGAGTGGCTCGGGATACATTGAAGGCATTAAGTCCATAATCTATCCTGCTATGTTCTAAGGCATGTTAAACGAGGATATCTATTTTAATTGTCATCCACTCTTTCTTCCCTTTTTTTATTCCTCATTGAGTGCGTTGTTTCTTGGGCTAATATGATATTGTCGGTTATAGTTCGGCCTGGTACGAAGGGTGGTCTAAGCAGACTGCTATCAGTCGAAATGGTCTCTCTCTCTTGTTTCTTTTCTCATTGTGACTGGAATAATTTTGGGCAGTGGTCAGAGCCTAGAGATATGCATGGAAGATGCATAAAATACCCTACAATTTAACTGATTTCAACAAATCATTGAATAATCCGACCGACTTCTACCTCTACTATTCATTCCACCCTAATTTAATATAGAAAATAATCTTAAAAAACATTAAATGTGAGATGGAATCAGTAGACAAAGGGGAGATTTAAAAATCCTTCATCTGTGGATACCACCCCTACGGTTGTCTGGCCGCTGCTTAATTTTCTTTCATTTTCAAAAGAATAATCAAGCGTTTAATTTCTGCACTGTTGTTTAAGAAACAAAGCACTAACAATTTTGCTTTATTTCATTAAAAATATACAACAAATGCAAATATCAATGAGAAGAAAAAAATGATTTTTAAAAAAATTGAGGGAAAAAAACAGGGCTCATATCAAGTGTAAAATTGGATTTTTCAAGTCATTGTGGGAGACGAAATCCCCAGATTGGAAATGGGAAGAAAGAACAAATCAATACGCCAAAGCCTTGAAAAGAAGGCGGCGTCTTCGACTTTGTTTCTCTTTCTATTGATCCCACTCGAGCCTCTCTCTTTCTAATCACAGCCCTCTGTTCGGCTCCTCGGAAAATTAATTTCGTAGAGGAAAGGTTTAGCTGGAGGCAGGAATTTAGAAACGCAGATATTTTGGGGTCTTGATGGAGGCGATTAGGGTTTTGAAAGAGGGAATATTCATATATTTATAGTGGATTACGAGCTAGGTTTAGGGCTATATTTAGTATAGCCCAGTTTGTTTTTTGGGGCTTTTGCTTTTCTATATCTATTTTAAATCTGGGTTTACCTTTTTTCAAAATATGATTTTATGATATTAATTTAGTTTCTTTTATCACATTTCTTATTTATTTATAAATGAATTTAATATTTATAAAATCAGATAATTTTACGGTAAATTAAATGTTAATGATTAAATTTTTAATTTTATATCAATTTTATTTAGTTGTTTTCCATGGATCTTGATTGATTAGCTTTTTGAGGTTAAAATTCATAAACTTCTTCTTGTATTGTGTTTAAATATATTAATTTAAATTCAAATTTAAAATCTTCTCATATGAATTTAATTCGAGTAAAAAATCCGACTAGTAGAGATTATAATATAAAATTATTGGAACATAATAAAGTAAAACATTTAACACAAAACTAGAGGAATCAAATCCACTTGAAAAAAACCAAAGGGCAAACGATAGTTTTGGAACATCTCACATAATTACTTAAAATAAAAAAAGGGTTTTTCTTCCCTTCTTCAACCCAATACTATATGGTACACAAAAGGCCTAGAATTTGTAACTGCAACTTCCATCATCACTTCTTGCTGTTGGATCAAAGTTATCAGCACCTGGATCAGTGCATCCCTCTGGAACTGGAACACCAACTTGCTGTGCTGCTTTGCCTGCCATCGACAACAACGAAATACGGATTTAAATAACGATCGCAACACGATTTTATGGGTTATCGTAATCGAAAGGGATCTAACCATAGAAGGTTCCTCTGTTGATGGAATCTTCATTAGCTTCACCAAGGGCAGCTTCACTCAAGTACTTGTCTGCCAATTGGACTCTCTTAACATTCTCTTGCTCAGCAACAAGCATGTTTCCATATTCCAATAGCTTCCCAATGGTCATCTTTGGCTGCTCAAATGTTGGGGGGCCTTCCCTTGAGTTCACAAGCTTCTTCCCGATGCCCTGGACCCCGACATCTCCGATCCATTTCCGAACTTCGTCGTCGTAAACTCTAGCCCTCAGGGCACCGAAGAAATCTACAAAACCAAGCGAAAATATCATTTAATCGTGCGTACGGTCAGCACCAGAATCCGGATATCCCGAAATACCTATTGAACATAAAATTTAGTAGGGCAAGACTTACCAATGGATTGGCCAGGGAATGTGTCAACAAGCTTAACAATGTCTTCTTCAGGGATACCGTCAGTCCTAAAGATACCTTTGCAAACACCAATACGGTCTTCCCTAGTTGGTGCCCAGTAAAACTTCTCCATACGACCGTCACGGATGAGAGGAGCGTACAATGTCGAGAAATCGTTACCGGTGACGATGACTGGGACACGGGGGTTTTCTTCATTGTTGTACATACCGGGAAGCTGGACGTTGGTTGGGTTATCCGCAATGTTCATGAGGGTAGCATTAACCATCTGGTTGTTGACGGTGTACTGAGTGGTGCCTCCCATGCGACCGGCTCCGGCATCGAGATCGTTGATGAAGAGGCAACACATCTTACCCTTTCGGATGATGTCGGCGGCCTCACGATACCTTTGCCTGATCAACTTGGCTGGTTCACCGGCGTTTCCACTTTCCAATTCTCCGGCACTCATCATAATGGGGCTGGAAACAATCAATTCATAATAATTCATCAGTTATCACAGCATATTTGTTTAAGAAGCTTGTTGAAATCATGAACTCACTTGATTCCCATCTTGGCAAAGACAAGCTCACATTGGAAAGATTTTCCTTGACCTTTGCCTCCCCAAACACCCAAGATAAGAGGAACCTGTAAAAGAAAATATTCGAATTACTCGATTCAACTCGTGACCGATATACTTACTATCCGAAAACGAAAATTTTAACCAACCTTAATGTTAGGGAGGGTCATGAAGTTCTTGGTGATGTGAACAACAAGTTTGTCCATGAAAGCAGGTGCAATGTAGAAACCATCCATGTTGTTGTCCAAGTTGTACCTAAATTACATTAATCATCACAAATTCATTACTAAATACTAATGAAGTATCGAAAATCAATATCAAACTCGAGTTTATCGAATCCGGCTCGACTCATGACACTTGATACTTACGTTTTAAGCCCTTGGCTGAGGTATTCATAGGAACTCATGACAGCATAGTGAGTTCCATCATTCATGGGAGCTTGGAAGAGGGAATCGACCATTCCTTTCCCTCGAGTGATGTCTTGTTGGTCGTCGGAAACGTCTGTGGCCAGCCCCTTCCATCGGTCTCCGTCGGTCTGCTTGCTTTCGTCGATCTCTTTGGCCGCCACGACCTTGAAACTTCCCGACGGAAGCTTGTTGCTGTTGCTGTATCTCGCGCTCACTTTCTTGCCCATGAAAGCTGAGCTTGGAACCGAAACTCCAGCACCAGCGCCATTCAAGGTCAACTGCATACAGTTTGACATACATAGTTCTAGTCCACATTACTCCCACTCTTCATTTTTTATTTTTCAAGTATTTATAATTGACACACACTCGAATATCCAACATAAAATATATGAATATGATATTTCAAAAATTATTTGAAAAATTTTACACATACCCAATTTTTAAATACTCCACTAGAATAACTTCTTAACTTTTAAAATTTTATAATTTTTAAATATATCTATACATACATGTGGTATAATTATATACCATACATACATGCATACAAGTATTTATGTTCGACACTCACTCAAATATCCAACATGAAATATGTAAATATGATATTTCAGAAATCATTTGAAAACAATTACACATTCCCATTTCCAGATACTCTACTTGCATACATGTAGGGAAGTTCGAGAGGTGCTAATAGTGCAATTGTTTCTCTAAAAATTTCAAATTTTCATATATTTTTATATATTTTTTCCCTCTTATATCGATGATATAATTTCGTATCCTCATGTAATTTTAATATAACCGTCTAAGTTCATACCTTTAACATAAAATTCTACGTATCTTTAATACACTCATGTGGTCTATAGTAGAATATATACATACATGTATAGATTTTGAAACATGAATAGTTCGAGCAACATAAATTAACACGAACACAAACACGAACAAAGAAAAGGGTTACGAAGATTACCAGTGCTCGGTTGGAAGCAGCAATGGTGGAGATGGCTGCAGCCATTGGCGGGGAGATTATGGAACCGTGAATACTGTTGTTATTGGTTCGAGTGTGGGGTTTTGAGAAGCTGCTGAAGTATGGAGACTGTTGGGGCAGAACTTATAGGGATAACCACTTCCTTTTTTGTGTACCAAAATTGAGGATTTTCTTATCATTTTTGAAGGCCACACAATGGAGATTGATCATGAATACACGTGGCGGATGATGATTGGTTGTGATTTCCTGTGTTGTAGGTTTATCCTTGAGATTATGTTTCTTTGCCACTCGATAGTTTATTCCATTTATCACCACACAACGGATTTTCAGAAAACAAAAATATTCTGTCTCTGGTTGTTTTATCCCCATCTCTGCTTCACCAGCAAATAGTTGCCACGTAGCATGGTTATACAAAATAGGATAAATTACATTAGATGTCATTCATTTATGTTTAAAGGGTCGTTTTAGTCATTAATTTTTTAAAAGTTATAAAATAATTATTAATTTTCCGAATTATTAAAAAAATGATCATTTTAACGTTATAATAAGTGTAGAAGTTTGATAAATTTAATGAACATTTTATAATAATTTGATAAAATTTAATGGCTATTTTATAACATTTCAATAAATTTAATGATTATTTTATAACTTTTGAAAGTTCAGTGATTAAGATGGTTATTTATAGACAGTTTAATGATCTCTGATGAGCTTTATCCTACATAATAATCTAAACTTTATCTTATTTAAAAATAAGAAAATAATTTATTATGTTTATATTATGAAAATGAAAAATTTAATTCATATGTTTTAATTTGTCAAAAAGTATTCATACTTAGTTTAACTATGAAATACTATAAAAAACATTAATGTTAATTTTGACATAAAAAAATTAACATTTTAGTAATTTGTGTGCACAAAATTAGTAAAAAAATCAGAGAAAATAACCTCAGTGACCGAAAATGTCTTATAATATACGATTTTAATCAATTTTTTTTGGATTTGTCAAAATGACCAACAAAATCGCAACGCGATCTTAAATTCACAACGTAAACTCCAACTTCGCAACTCAGTTTCCAAATTCGCGTTGCGATTTTCCATTTCACGTTGCGATAGTCCAAATTCGCATTGCGATATCGCAACGCGATCTTAAATTCGCAACTCCGTTTCCAAATTCGCGTTGCGATAGTCCAAAATCGCATTGCGATTTATTAACCAATAATCATCGACCTTCCATTGCCGATGTTCATTCATTCAAGATAAAAGTCTTGCTCTTGCATCTATAGTCAATGCATGCAACTTACAATGCTCAATCCCACATAGTATTGTAAACACTATTGGGAATGGGTATTTAAGGCTTGGATTTCCCACTTCCTTGTTGAGTGAAAGAGAACAAGGGGGACTCTCGCGCGTCGCTGCCGCCGCCGTCTCGTCTCGGGTCGTGGTCGTTGGAGTTGCGAATTTGGAGTTCGCGTTGCGATTTTGTTGGTTATTTTGACAAATCTAAAAAAAGTTAGTTAAAATCGTATATTATAAGACATTTTCGATCACTAAGGTTATTTTTTCAAAAAATCATCCGTTCAAGCTCATTTATTTATAAAATTGCAATTCATAAAATGAAATGTGGATGGGAGAGAAGTGAAGACAAATCATTAAATTGAAAGATTGAGTACTCAAATTTAATTAATAAGTATGAAAGTGATAAGTTATAATAAAATCTTGATTCTTGAAAATTAAAATTGACTTCTTTGTCTTTTTATTAATAATTTGGTTAAACTATCTATTTGGTTCTCATTTATTCTCGTGCTCCTGTTTTGTTCTCATAACTTTTTTTCTTCAAAATCATATCTAATATTACGTTTCGTTTATATTTTGATTACTTGTTGTTAGGTTTGACCATCAATTTAACGAAAATGATGACGTGATTAGATATAATCTTGATTACTTGTTGTTAGCTACCTCAATGATTAAAATGATAGTTATTATCTCTAGAAATATCAGGTCCGAGCACCAAAGACTACAAGGGAGTTTGAGTTTCCATTGTCAAATAGTTGTGAATTTTTAGAACAAAGACTACCTATATAAAAAAGAAGAGCACAACACATGTCAGATGATAGCAATCCTTCGTTAATTGTAACATCGAGGCGTCGATTAAATATCTGTTAAGTGGTGATAACAATTAGGGTTAGGTATAATGACAAAAATAACACTAACGATATCGAGGAATAAAGTTAAAAAAAAGAACAAAATGACCATTTATGAAAACTTTGGAGATAATTTTATCGTTATAACTTAGGGTTTGTATAGAAAAAAGTAATTGGGTTATTTTTCAATAAAGCCAATATTCATGAAACCGAAAACTATAATAGGCCCATTTACATTATCAGATTTTATAGACCATAATCACCTGCCAATCTCAACAGACAAACCACCAAAGCTTAACAGATTAACTAACCAAACATGCTTGATATTAACTAACTATTTTAATCTAATCGTTAACTCTTAACATGGATACCGCGCACGCCACAAACTGATATGTATCGGTGTAAATTTATAATAGTCATTAAACTATGTTAAAATGATTTTTTTTAGTCAAGTTTAAAAATGAATATTAAATTTTATATTCGTTAAAAAGAAATATTGACACTGACTATCGTTAAGAGCTAATGTAGCATATTAAATAAATAAAAAAATATCATTTGCTCCATCAATTGTGACTAAATTTTTTATATTTTCAATAATTTTAAGTAATAATTCCAAAAAATTATAAAAATATTTTTAAATATATGGATTTTGAAAATTTATTTGAAATTATAAATATATTTTTAAAATTATATTAAAACTAATAAAAAATTAAAGAATTGAATCACATTGTTTAATAAAAAAATGATTCCATTTTATAACCAAAATTATTGGATTTCAAAAATTATAATTATAAAATTTCAAATTAACCACAATTAAATAAAAAAGTAATTATAATTTTTTTGTGAATTAATAAATTCATATTTCTAAAAAATAATTACAATTTTATGAATTAAAAGATTAATTATAAATTTAATTTAAAAAATACATTTATAATTTTAAAAATGAATCATGAATTTATATATATTATATATATATATATATAATTTTTTTTAGAATTATTATTTCAAAATATTGAAAAATATCAAAAATAAAATTTAGTTTATAATTGTGGGTAAAATGAGAATTTTTTATTAATTTAACATGTTAAGTTACCCTTTTAATGATAATTAAAGATGCAATATTTATTTTGTAATACAATTGAAGAATTGATTGAATGAGATATTATGTAACTTTTAAAGTTAAATATTCAAAAGGAGTATTTTAATATAATTTAATGACTATTTAAAAATATTACCTTTAAAATTAGTGGTACATTTCGGTAAATGACATATATCGTAGATTTTTGCCTCTTAACATTATCCCTGCTTCGTCAACATGCTTGTCTTTGCATGTAGCACTAACCAAACATTTTGAATAACACTTTTATGAGGTTATTATTATTATTATTTATTATATTTATTATTTATCAGGTTTGATATTACATAATTATTATTTTTTGACATTTATACAAGTTAATTGACATATAACACATGAAATAATTTGATAAACATAGTGTTCTTTTTTAATAATTAATTAGATAATATTTTTTAATAGTCTAGATGATTATAAGTAATATCAGTTAAAGATAAATTAATTAGATAATTATATTTGAACTTTAGAATTTTTATTAATAATTTTTGGATCATTCTTATGGTTGGTACATCCATCGAGATTCAATCATAACATTCATATTTGGTTTAGGCAAGAAAAGTAAAATCTTAAATTATATTTAGTACCCATGCTAAGTATGGTATGTTTAACCATACACTAAATTTTAATTTGAATCTGATTTTTATTCAAAATTTGATTTTAACTCATTTTTTAATAAAATTTGATCTTATAAGTGAAATAAAAATTCGTTGAGTTAAAATTATTCGATCATCCCTAGATCATAAATAGTAATAACTTATTATTTAAAGGGCAAATTATTTTGATATTTCCTAATCAAATTGTCATTCTCTTAATACGTGATAAAACTCAAACCTTTTTATTATTTAACATATTCTTATATTAATATAGTCTTATATATACTGATAATTTTTATAGGTTTAATGTAAAAATAAGTACTTAAATTATATTAAAAATTAACATTTGGTGACTAAAGAATCTTTCATTAAGAATATTTGAATAATATTTTATCCGTTACACTTTTAGGTGCCTATCGTTAAAAAAATTCATAAAGTGAAATGTGTTACATTTATATATTTTTTAAATTTTATTTTTTAAGAAAAGAAAATATCATTTAAATTTTTTTAAAAAATAAATATAACACTCGTCACTTAACGTATTTTTTTTAACTATAGACACATAAAAATATAAAGGAGAAAATGTTAAATACCTAATTTTAATAAAAAAATTATTTAAATACCAAAAATTAATTTTAAATATAGTTTTAACACTTAAACATTTTTTTAAAATCATATTAGTTGAATTGAACGAGCGGAATGAATAATTGACTTTAAATATTTTTATTATTTAACTTTTAATTTGATTAGTACTAGATAAAGGTTACTTGTAGAGTAATTATTAAAATATAATTTTTTTAATTATTTACTTTTTGCATAATAAAAATTGCTACTATATTTTTTTGAAATTATATGTAGCGTACACAAGCCAACCCAGAAACTCCACGAAGAGAAAAGTGAAAGAAAATCTCAAAGAAAACCTCTTTTACATTTCCTCTCCGGTCGTTTATTCACCGCCGCCGCCGGTCCTGCTTCCCCACCATATCACCGTCCTCTGGCATTAACCCCCTCCTTCCACATTTTTCCCACAGTTTCTCCAAATTTACCAATGAAATGAAATTTCTCCAAATTACCAATGAAATGAAATTTCTAGGGTTAGGGTTTTGGGGAACTTGATGAAAAGACGAAAGAAAAGTAACATGGAAGGTTTCAAGGACTCGGAATCCAAATCGGTGAGCGAGACGGTGAACGGGTCACACCAATTCACGATCAAGGGTTATTCGTTGGCGAAAGGGATGGGTCCCGGGAAATGTA